TGAGAAATTTTACAGTTTTAAAACCGTGTAATGGTTCATCAAATGTATTTATTTCCACAAGGAATTTTATTCTGTATCGTAGAGGCGTTTTAGATAATTCAATTGTATATGGACCTAGAACGATTATTTTAGTACCTATATATAAATAACCATTCTGTGAAAAATTCAAACTCACAGACTCCTGCGCTACACCCAAATATTTAACTACGTCTCCGAGCCGAAAAGCAGAAGTTCTTTTATTTTGTCAAAATTAAAGTTTAATAATTATAACCTTTAACGTGGTAGAGCCTACTATATTATGGTTGTAGCACGAATGGGTCGGCTCGACGGGGAAGGACAACGCTCTCACAGAATACCAGCGTAAAATAGCAGCTTAACACTGCTGTGTTTCATTTGGTGAGTGTAGAGAACCGGAGACCCTTTTTACTGGAAACGAGGCATTCCATCTTAGTCCTCACGGGTGACAACGCATCTGCATTTTGATTCTTAATCGAAGATAGATGTAGATGTCTATGGGCCACAGCAACCACTTACCATCAGGTGGACTATGTGCCCGTTTGTCACTCTTATCCTATAAGAAAAAAAAAACACAAAGTAAAAATTTAATTCAAATTGCTAAGAAGTTGTTTATTTTCTGACCTTAGGGGTGAACTTTTTTCTCCAAATTTATATGAAACTACTCTTAGAGTAATAACCTATTTAATAAAAAAAGAATCATCAATATTGCTTCACAATCTGCGAAGATATCGCGTAACATACATACATAAAAAACATACATTCGAATTGAGAACGTCCTACTATTTGAAGTCGGTTATAAAATCGAGAAACATTTACTTTCCATTTATATTTATTATATAGTTACAGTTTATATTGCCTAACCAGTCGAGACATTTGTTTTTCACAGACAAGCTAAAAGCTTTATGAGCCGTAGTAATTAAGTAGTAGAATGTAAACTTAAGTATATAAAGGCGAATGAAATAAAAGTAAATGTAGGCTTTAGTAAATTTATGACCACATTTCGTGCCTAATTTTTCATAAGAGGAGACTATGAAATATGCCAGAAAGGTCATGTGACTTGTGATACGAGTATAGTAATATCGTATACGCCATTCATAAATACCCAGACCGACAACAGATCAGAACTAAAGGTGAGAGACGTCTGGCACTGCACCTTGTCCACCTAATAAGCGTGACGATTTCAAAGCGAGTTATACGCGGGTGACGACGCGCGTGGCGTGCGCGTAGCAGGTGCGTGTCGTCGGAACGCAGCCTTAGGAAGAGAGAAAGGCTTCATGCCATCAAAAACATAACTTGTAAAAAAAGCCAAGTATCGCAGCTTAGTTCTTCTACCGTAAAAAGTTGTGAGATCCATGTAATACCAAGTCGGTTAATTTATTCAGTCCCTACTTAAGGTTCCTTCTGTCTTCAATTATTACGTAATTAGCTTACCTAACAACATCTTATATTGACCGCATCAATATTAAAAATCTTTTATATTTTAAATAAATATATTGACTTGGCCATCGCATGAAAACACAATGTATCTGTTAAGTAATACATATTATATTAAATGAGATTGTTTAGTGCGATTAGTATAGTATTCCAATTCTATGTCTGCTAGAAGTGCTTTAGAGTTTTGATGATCGGTCAGTCAGTGAATGACAAAATTAACAAACTTTGACTAGTTATAATTCTTAAACTACTGGTTCAAATTTAATGAAATTTGAAATATACCGAGTTTATACAATGCCTACTTGGTAACTGAGGCTTCTAGTTTTATCCACAACGAAGTTATAGGGTTTCGAAAATGGCCTGAACTGCTTCGAGAAAAGGAGGGTACGGCCGTGCCGCTTTTCTGCTCGACTTGGCGGGGTCACTGCCGTGCCCCCAGATAAAAGACTTTAAAAATTACCCGAAAATGATGAAATAAGAGAAGTATATAAAAATATAGGAATAATAATAATAATAATATATTTTTATGGATGATAGAATGTAGATAATAGAACGCGCATAGCGCCACTGCCTGGGGGTCGCCGGGGCGCGTCTGGAGCTGGCGCTGGACGCGACAGCATGCGGGCCGCCTGCCGAGCGCGAGGTGCTGCACGACCACCTAGCAGGCCCTCGGCAATCGGCATCCGCCGCTGGTGGAGACGGAAAATGTGGCGAGTCAGTTTGCGAATGTTACGCCCATGGTCCCCGTCATCATAACGCCGGATGATGTAGCTGAGGCGGTCCGTAGGGCCCCGAACTGGAAGAGTCAGGGACTCGACGGACTGCATCACTACTGGCTGAAGGGATTCGTGGTGTGTCACGCTGTGCTCGTTCGACAGTTTCAAGAGGCTCTCGACCAAAGTCACTCTCGAGCCTCTTCACTACTGGGATCACTCACTTGGTTTCTAAAGACCGGGATTCCACAGACTCAAGCAAATACCGCCCCATAACGTGTCTATCTACTATATACAAGACACTAACATCCATTTTAAGCGCGAGAATCACTCGCGAGACTTCCTCGGGTAGTGTATGAGGCAGTGGAGTACGATTCTTTGTCATCTATGCGAGCGGATGACGGCTGCGGAGAACCACATAAGAAATAGAAAGTGTATCTTCCAGAGCGATTGTTTAAGTCCAATTTGGTTCTGCCTCTCTCTGAACCCTCTCAGTACCTTACTGGAGCGTTCCGGGAGGGAATTTCAGCTTCGGAAAGGAGGTACAAAAGTGACCTAACTTTTCTATATGGATGATCTCAAATTATTCGCCTCCAGTCGTTCTCATCTTATGGAATTGCTAAACATCCCTTGTGATTTTAGCAGTTCTATTAGAATAGAGCTAGATCAACATAAAGACCCTATCCGAGGCTGAAACATACCGATACCTAGGTATGTCACAGAACATAGGTATCGATGAGGCGGACATGAGGCAGTCAGTTTGCGATGTGTTTTATGCACGCTTGACAAAAGTGCTTAACAGTCTTTTGTCGGGTGTTAATAAGACACGCATATAACGGTTGGATCATGCCTGTTCTCATGTATACATTTGGCATACTCAGGTGGACTCAGACCGAACTGAACGCTCTGGATAGAAAAGTCCACACTATTATGACGTCCCACAGGATGCATCATCCGAGATCGTCAGTAATGAGACTGTACTTGCCGCGGAAACATGGTGGGCGCGGCTTTTAAGGGCGCTTACCATGCATAATCACTAAGTGTGCAGCCTCCGTAATTACTTTTAGACGAGAGAGGAAGATCCATTCTATAGGGGGGTTATTTTTTGTGATAAAGGACTTACCCCTCTATCCTTAGCCAACGAGCAATGGCAAGACCCGGCAGTATAGAGCATTTCCGACCGGGAGACCGTATGGAAGGAGAAGGAGCTCCACGGGAGGTTCTACAAGGCTCTACATGAGCCTTTCGAAGACACAGTTACCTCCCTCCACTGGCTACGTTTTGGTGACCTTTTCGGGGATACCGATTTGGCAGCAGAAATAGGTAAATAGAGACCATCAGTGATATTCTAGTCTATATCTCCATTGTTAACGCCATAGCCGTTAATACTATTATTTATTCTATGCCGTAGCATTACATCGGTCTTGAGTAGATAAGAACAAATAGGTATATGATTTTGTTATCGAATACGCTCGTAGCGCTGTAGTATCTCCTGCTCAGTTGATAGCTGGCAACTACGTAGTTACGTGGTTAAAAAGAGTCACGACACATCATCACCATCATTACATATCTAATGTAGACTGCAACCAACTTCATGCGAAGAAAAACATAAAAAAAGAAACAACAAAGAAGAATAAAAAGAAGTTAGGATACCTCATAGGTTGTATTTATACAGGCTCGCTCATGCTGGAACACAATAATAGATACTGTTTTCCATCACCATGCCCACCCATAAAGCTTATACGATAGAATTATTGTTTATAATATTTTAATAACTTGACGACATAACTTCCTAACAAACGATATATTATGTGATTTGTAAAATCTAGGACTGAAAGCTGAGTAGACCTGGACCTGCAAACTATAAAATTAAAGAAATATTTTTAATCTAAAACAGCGTTGACCACGCATTTAAAGTCAATTGTATAATTGCGGATTTTACTAAAACTTTTTTTAAATCGACCTTCTGGGTTAAGAAGCTATCAACATATTTAAATATATTTTGACGTAGAGAGGTAAAGTAGAAAAAATCCTTTAACTTTACTTGTCATATATAAGTTAACTTTACAGCCTATCAAAGTCCACTGCTGAACATGGGCCTCCCCCAAATGCCTCTTAGGGAGGACTCTACATTTTAACATTATTTAAAATATCATACATAAAAGATCTTCTTGACAAATATGATCGTGTTCTTAATAACTGCGTTAGATTTTTTTTTCTTACTTAACTTCTGACTCAGTAGTAGTTCTGAGTTTCAGCTCTAGCCATGACAGAAACCTGCGTTTTTCGAATAATTTTACATAAGTTCCTCTCACAAATATGGCTTCCGTGCATCAACCAAAGTTTGAATGGTAGAGAATGCGTTAGGCGGACGCCTATACATCACATTATATAAAGTTTATTAATAAATAAATAAATATTTATATATTTTAACAATTTAACATAATTAGGCAAAGGTAAACATTTCAATTGATTTAATAGTAGTTGTTACTACGCCTACACAAAAACACTGAGCAAAATGATAATGTAACTAAATGTAGGCACTATACATAAAATTAACGACTACTGCCACAGGCCGCCTCTCATTTATGGTGAGGAACTTCTAGTGTAGTTTGATTGATTGCAACAACTCTCTTACCAATTTTCGTCACAAAACTACAGTAGTATGTTATTGGACATTAATCATAATTACATGCTGCTAGACAATTTATCTGATTAATCGCCCACCTGTGGCTTTCTAATTGAAGCTGGCTTCAAAAGTCTATAGGCTGCAAATACAACTTTTTGAACAAATATTAACAACTTTTAGTCACCTTAACTTTTCTTAACTTTCAGATGTTGGGTGATTGGTACGTTGTTGAATACTATGCTAGCGCCGAAGAAGCCCTTTCCTACAGCTGTATGAGAGCTGTATTCACGGAGGATGACCACGTGCAAACTGCGGGTTGGTTTTGTCTTTATCCTTTAAAATGTGTAGCGTTTTTCAAAAAAGGAGGAGGTTCTCAATTTGACTGTATGTTTTTTCCTATTTGTGTTACCTCAGAACATTTTTCTGGGTGAACCGATTATGATGATTCTTTTTTCTTTCTTCTCAAATGGTCCCATATAAATTAGATCTAGATATAACCAATAGTTTTTGAGTTATCCTTAACAATGCGTATTTAATTGTCTTCGACTACATTAATGATGTTCTTATTTTATTTATATTGAAGTCGGTTGTACAAAATAATTATATCACTTGTGTATTTTTACATTGTAGTTTATTTCTATTTTTTTAAAACCTATTTGTATTAAACCTATTCTATTTTGTAGACCCATGGTAGATCAGGAGCTAAAATTTATAAATTTCATAGTATCAAAGCAATTGGGTTTTGATTCCCGCCGGTACTAATGAGTTTTCGGCGATGAAGGGAAACGTAGTGAGATCTCTGTATGTTTGAGGAACAAAATATTTAGATGACATGTGAAATCTGCCAACATGCACTAAGGACAGCAGTGGGCTATTATATATGCTGTAACTTTACGTTCTTTACGTTTACTCTCCTGTTATATCACTTGTTTTTGTATTATATTTTCTTAACATTTAGTTTGAGCATTTTATCTCAACGAACTAGTATTATGGCTAAATATTGTCTTCTAATCCTTATATTAGGCACTACCTATCACTCACTCTTTGCATTTCTTCGGGATCTGCGGTATCCTACTTCATCCTCCCTTTTGCTATCCTATACAATTAGACTATAATCTGTTCTCCACTTCCATTCCTTTTCCCTCGTGGAATAACCGACAGTATAGCTACCCGACATCATCATCATTATATAACCCTCTACTAGTCCACTGCAGAACAAGGTCTCCCCAATGGAATGCCACAAAAGTCCTGAGCCCTAGTATCCATCGACCTCCTGCATATCTGCTACTCAACAATTTGTGTATAAATAGTAAATCCAGGCTATAAGCAGCCGCAATCCCTATAATATCTAACACCGTGATCATTAATATAAGCGATTCTAATATAACAACGCGTTTAGGAGTCTATTGTGGTTGCCTCGGTTCTATAGTATGTCGACTATATTTAGGCACGGATAGATGGTTTTAATGCAATATGATGCAAGAAACCAGACACCGCGAAAACAACCAGAGTCCGTGGGAGCTGCAACAGTATCCTGCGCTGGATAGCAGGGAAGAAAGATGGTTCTTTGATGGGAAAGCTCATGAACGTAACTTAATCCCTACAAGTGTTTAATGACCATGTTACTTAAAAACTTAACAGTTTATTTTCATCTTTAATCCATCTGCTGACGTGGTGATTTCAAACTTCTCATTATTAAAATATTTTACTGCAAGGATTAAGGTGCGCCTTAATCCATATGAGTCTTACTTTTTATGTTAATTGCTGATGTAACTGAATAAATTTTAACACAATATTGTAAACAGCGTACAAAATACGTCTCACCACTTCACGAAAAGTAAATTAACTAAATGATAGCTTCATAGGTATTTTATATTAAACTTTGCAGATGGTTCCGTAGAATGGACCCCAGGTGTGACGATGAACTTCACGTACCGCTTCGCCGACGATCCTCTCGGAGAGAACTTGCTCGGCAACATAACCTGGCGGGTGGACATGAACGAGCCAGCGCATTGGACTCATTCTGAACTGACTTGTAAGTAAAAAACGAAACGAAATATATACAAAATTTGTTGGCTTGATTTACTACACAGTTTTGTAATTATGAAAATATGAATATCGAACGAATAATTTGAATTTAAATTATTATAAGATAGACCAATCATAGAAGCTTAAAATATAATTACACCGTGAAATCTAAATTTCTGCTCATTTGATTAATTAGCTATATATATAGTTATAAGTTACTTTTCATTAAAATTCGGTCAGATATACTGATGAAATTTTAATATTAGATTTTATTCTAACAAGAGAAAAACATTTATTTGTAATATTTTTCTTTTAAAATCTATTTGCCACGTAGCCAGGGCCCTCCATCGGATATATGTGTATGTATAATGATATTATACATAATATTAATAGCTACTACTACTAATCTAATCTGTATAATTAGGTAATTTATTTATTCATTACAACCGACTGTAAAAGTCGAACTGAACATCCGCCCACCTCATAATTTGCCTCATGCAGGCAGCTGCACTTTTTTAATTATTTAAACCCTTATGAGGAAAGAATACTGTTGACCATCACCTGTTTCAGTTTTCCTTTTTCACCTCCAACAACATTCACAATAACATATGGGGCAGAGGATTCTCTTATGCCGCCACTACACGGTAACAATAAGCATTTTAATAAAAGAATGAGTTTGTTAGACATATTTATCATAATTATTTAAAGGCAGCGGCATAAAAATACTTCATTTGTTAATATATATTTTTTCATTAGCGAGGCTAAAAATGTAGCACTGATTTTCACTGTTTTTCACATTTTGATCACATAACATGTGTTACTATTTACTTTAAAAAAATATTCAAAATAAATAGTGGAAGGAAATAAAGCAAACTGTCAGTGTAAGTTGCTAAATGACGCGCCCATTTTTTTTTAAATTGTCGGAAATCTATTTCCTTTATTTTACTTCACGCTTGCCGATTTCAGTTAACATCAACTTATACTCCTCAATGCAATGAAATAAAAGAGATTTTAAACGTTTTTAGGCCTTTTCAAAACTCCCTCGTTTTTTTTTTGTAATAATAAACACAGAATGGTTCATATTTACATATACATGTAGATGAACATCACGTCTATAATTTCCAAGGGGTAGACAGAGTCCAAATATCAGTGTTCACTTAAACCACGATTACCCAAAAAAAGGAAGTATACATAGAAAAAAATTTTGAGAAGTAATGTGCCTATTACTTCTCTAACTTTTTTTCGGCTTTAGTACGTGGTTGCGGACTTCACACGTTCTTGAAAAATCATATTTCACTGTCATGCACCCAACACCTTACGATTGTTCCTGCACCGACGAGCACGTGGTCAATCAGCACTTAAAAATGGCCGTTTTAACTCATGGGCTAAGCGCCACAATAAATTTCTTCGTCAATAATTTGTTAAAATTCTTTTAAAAATATACTTAAAATAGAAATGTGCTTTTAAAAACGTAATAGCTATTGTGTTTTACTTAATTCATGATATAATTTACAGATGACGGGATTTACAATACTTATGTCCTTGATACGGAATATAAAACTTGGGCGCTACTACTGCATTGTGCAGAACAGAGAGAAGGCACCCGATACTTAAGTGCATTCATTTTGTCACGGAAGACTGTTTTGCCAAAGAATGTGATGGCGTACCTAAGAGATAAACTACCGAGGTATATTGTCAAAGTTTATGTTTACACGTGATAGAGCCACGCTGCAGCTAGTGCTCTACTACTGAATACTATAAGCTCTTCCAGATAGGTGCTTTGTAACGGTCGATAACATTGCACTTGGTATTGCGATAATGCGTTCTGTGCCCTTGCAACTCAGCTCCTTTTTTATCATTCGCTATTTCAAACGTGTTACCCTATAGGCTACACCGTAACTGGCACCGCTACTAACCATACCCAAACAACCCAAATTACATACTAGTAGGTGCTGGTGTGTGTAAGATCACACGCGTCCTAATACAAAATGTATTAAGAACAGATATTTAAATATCGCAAGATTTCACGATGTCTTCCTTAATCAGTTCCTCCAGCAAGCAGCTTTAGATGTTACTACAACTGTATAGACAACGTAATAGACATCGGGTTGCTTGCGCAAAGTGGTATTTAAAACACCGCTGCTTTAACCACCTCTAAATTCCCTGAGTCCTGCAGTTGGACACCATTAGTCTGTTACTTTTTATCACCCTTCGTCTTCTTCGGATTGATGATCACAGTATCATACGTCTCGCATTTTTAAAGCTGCTCACCGTTGCCGGTCTGGGAATTTTATGTCTGGCGTAAGCGAATAAGTTAGAAATAAATTTTAAATTAAGTCATCATTTATTACCTGTCAAAAGTCCACAGCTAAGCAGAGACGTTGATTGCCTCAGAGATAGAGATATTTACCGTATTCGCCACGCTTGTCAGGCGGGTTCTTTTTAATTTACGTGGTAGAGCCATACTGTAGCTATATTAATAGTGTAGTTGTAGCACGAATGAGTCGGCTCGACCGGGGAAGGACCAAGCTCTCACGGAATACCAGCGTTAAATAGTAGTTTAATGCTGCTGTGTTTCGTATGGTTAGTGTAGAGAACCGGAGACCTATTTTACCGAAAAAGTAGCATTCTATCTTAGTCCTCACTACTGACAACGCAAAGAAGATAGATTTAGATGTCTATGGGCTATAGCAACCACTTACCATCAGGTGGACTGTGTGCTCGTTTGTCACCCTAATTCGATAAAAAAATAATAATTTGAGCTCTTAATAGAAAGTTGCTGCCCATTTCTTGTTTCATTTTCCCTCTGTCGCTTCTTACAACACTCATGGCATTTCTCATGGTATTAACTCATAGAATTGTTCGGATTAATAACAGCCACCAAATTTCACGAACGCACATCGCGGCAAAACTCCCGATAACATCCACACCATCTCGATTCTTGGTGGTAAACCACTGTACGTTTTACTAGGAATTTTATTCCTTGTACGACCTTTCTGTAGAATAGTTTACCACCGGCGATTTTTCTGGACCGATACGACTTAGGGACCTTCAAGAAAAGAGCTTACTCCTTTCTAAAAGGTTGGCAATGCACCTGCAATTCCCCTGGTGTTACAGTTGTTCATGGGCGGCGGTAGTCACTTACCATCAAGTGAGCTGTATGCTCGTTTGCCCCCTCTCCTATAAAAAAGGGCACGGCAAGACCCTACTTAGTGGCAATCTTTAGGACGAGCCTATGTCAAGCAATAGTTTTAAAATGGACTCTGATGATGATGTCTACAATTTTAAGTTAAAGTCAAAAGTTTAAACAGTGGTAGAGCCACGCGGCAGCTTTTGCTGTCGCACGGATGGGCCGGCTCGAACCGGAGTGAAGTACCATAAAACCAGCGTGAAGTAGAGGTTTACCTCTGCGTTTCGCTTGGTGAGTGCAGGTGGCCGGAGGCCCTTTTTACTGGAAATGAGGCATTCCATCTTAGTCCTCACGGGTGACAACGCATCTATATTTTGATTTGTAATAGGGGATAGATGTAGATGTCTATGGGCCACAGCAACCACTTACCATCAAATGGACTGTGTGCTCGTTTGTCACCTTTATCCTATAAAAAAAAGTTGAAGTTACTGCCTATCACACAGCTGGGGACAGAACTCATCTCATTCCTACAAGGATTTTAGAACAAGGAAATCTACGCCGAGATGCCCAATACGCATCATTGGTGTTGGTGAATTTTACATGTCAACGAAATATATTTTTTTTCTTATTTCTCAGACATGCAGGTTTCCTCACATTTCCTTCGCCAACAAGCACGTTGTGGCTGATTTACCAATTTTTAAAATTTCAATTAACAATTTCATTGGTGCCGGTGGGATTATCGAAACCGGGTGAAATTTTAGGTGCTGAGCTATAAATAAACTTCTGTATTAGTAGGCTATTGTATTGGGACAGCGGATGCAAGTCAAATAATCAGTATTAATTTCATTGCGTTAATTACTATATTGAATTATTCGTAATGTGTGAATGTGTAATGTTGTTTCACTATCATTTGAAATAGAGCAGAAACACCAGGCCTCTGTACGTCAATTCATATAACATTGTTGCCATATATAGTATAGATTAGTAGATAACTACTTGTAATAAGTGACGTAGGTAAAATACTTCTTGAATACCGTAGTCAGTCAACCACACCAAATGTTTAATGTTATGTCCAACTAGCTGTTCACCGCGACTTCGCACGCGTGTTAGGGTTTTTATGTTTTTGCGCGGAACCCTAATTCTTTTTCTAAAATAAAAGTAGCCTAGGTTACTCCTTATGAATTCACCTACCTGCCAGAGCAAGTCCCTTCAAAATCAGTTCAACCCTTTCAGAGATTAGCCGTAACAAACAGACAGCCAAAAATTTTAAAAATTATATTTTAGTTATAAGTACCGTATTTGCTTTCATATGCATTTAGTAAAAAACTGTAATTTTGACATTACATACAGACACTTCAATTTTCTTTATTTGTATTGATAATAATATAGAGATGTGTAAATGTTTAGAATTTTAATCATATCATGTTAAAAAAAATTGGAGTGTCTGCTTGTAATTTCAAAATAACAGCTTTTTACTAAATGCATATGAAAGTATATACGACAGATTTAAAACAAAAAAATAATTTTTAAAAATTTTGTCTGTCTGTCTGTCTGTTTGTTCCGGCTCATCTGCGAAATGGCTGGACCGATTTTGATGGGACTTTCACTGACAGAGAACTTTAGAACAATAATTAGGGTACCGCGCAAAAAAATAAAACCCTAAATTACACGCGAGCAAAGACGCGAGGAACAGCTAGTTAGTAGTATATTATTAGTTAATTTTTAATACTTGCCGTAACATTAATATTTAACACTTGCCGTAACAATAATAATTAAATTGCTAAAATAACACCGTTTTACCATTGTTCAATGGCATTGCTTAGTTTTTAGCGTACTGGGTGAGTGGACGGCGGTACCAAAAATTCCAATGTATCCATTACAGCCTATAAAAGTCCACTGAGGAACATAGGCCTCCCTAGGGAAGATTTTGCCATGGCTGCCATGTTTGGCAGGCACGTTTGCTACCGCAGTTTTTTATTATTTCAGCTATTAACAGAAACTTGGTTTAAACTTTAACAGGAACTCCTGTTTTAGTTTCCTCTTTTGCCTCTTATGACAGCCACGGGATGATATGGGTTAGTGCATATTCTTACACTACCACTGCACGGTTAACCCACGATTAATGGGGTTAGAAGCTTCAAATTTATAAATATCTTTTGGGTGCATTTCTTAATATTTTTCCTTACCCTCGCTTTTTAGGATTCATGGAGTCAAACTAAATGTTCGACAATTACACTTAAAAATGGCGACAACGGTTTAACGATATCAGCTTTTTTCGTTACGTTAGCATATTATCATCATTATTAAGATTGCTTACATCAAGTCCATGGCTGAACATAGGCCATCCCTACAGATTTCCACTAAGCACAACCACAAGCTAGCGCTCGCTGTAAGCTTCATAGTACTCGAGCAACCCGGGTTCGATCCCCGCCGGCACCAATGAAATTGTTAATTGCAATTTTAAGTGCTCGGCGGTGAAGGAAAACATCGTGAGGAAACCTGCATGTCTGAGAAATAAGAAAAAAAATATTTCGAAGACATGTGAAGTTAGCCAACACGCATTGGGGCAGCGCGGCGGACATTTCCTTGCCCTAAAACCCTCTCAGAAATAAGAGGTCTGTGTCCAGCAGTGGGACGTAAATAGGTTGCAACTTTACTTTTTACTATTACAGCCACAAGCCACAAGCATCCTTCGATTATATACAGTGTGTTTTTCGCATTTTTCCAGGGATTTGGGAAGTCATTAGCTAGGTTCTACCCATACACCCTTTTGACCCAAATGTCACGGTGGGTTAAATATGGTATTGGTATACTCTCATCTCAGGGGTACCTCGTTTAGAGCCGTGGCTGTATCAGAGACAGCTGAACTGAGTAAGTGGCGGAAATATGAGTCTCTGAGAGATGACTACATATTTGTGCCATTTGCTGTAGAGACTATCGGTCCGTGGGGTCCACGTGCGGTGAAGTTTCTAAAGGAACTCCACCGCGGCTGGTCGTTGCTGCTGGTGATAAGAGGGCTGGTTATTTTCTCGGTCATAGGCTAAGTATAGCCATTGAGCGAGGAAACGCAGCTAGCGTTCTTGGTACGATACCGCGGGGAGTAGAACTATATGATAATTAAGTTTCTAGTTTTAGTCTTTTTTTATAGTTTTTAATATATAATTTAAATAATTAATTGATATTTTTATTATATTATCTTTATTTGAATTAACTTTGTTGTTTGTGGGTGTAGTGGTTTCCCAACACTGTGCTTGCAAGTACGAGTTCGCCACTTGAGAAACTTCCTTCCCGGGTAGCATATTATATAAATATAATAGGTATGTTAATTTTTGCATTTTTATTTTTCACAGATATGATATTGATATTAAATACGTGTTCCCGATACCGCATAACAACTGCACATCAACACCAGCCAAATTCAACTATTCGCCGATACTCGTGGAAGTTGGTAGTAAGACAATAAAACGACCTAAGATTGAATACAATGTTAATTTTGAGAATTAATTTTTACTAAACTACTTTCAAATGATTCTATCTATAATCATAAACATTAATTAACTTGATAGTTTGTCCATTTTAATAAAACTTTGATTAACTTTGTTGTTTTAGTAGTAGTTCATAGTTACGTACATTATATATATGTATACATAATTACGTACGTTAATAATATTTTACAAGAATTTTTTTATAATTTTATAAAAAATAATGTTTTTATTTCCGTTAGTAAATTACATGTGTTATTAAATTGAAGTGATTAAAACTATGAAAAAATTAACTGTTGTTTTTATATCGTTTATGTTTACTAATGCATGACACGCGTTCGTGGATTCTAACAAATCAGGAGATGGTCAACTAATAAAATAAAATAAACTGCGGTTGCCAATCGGCCCACCAAACGTGGCAACTATGGCACATATCGCCCAGGTAAGGTAGGTAATCAAAGGCCTCTGTTTAGCAATGGACTTCGATAGACTGTAATGGTAACGTATGTATGACAAGTAAAGGATTTTTTTTTTACTTTACTTTACTTGGCTGTGAAGATGTAGCGGTTCTTAGCCTAAACATAAACACATAGGTGATTCAAATTATGTAAGTACTATATACTACTGTCAAGTGTCCATGGTGTACTCAAGGTTTGCAAGTACCATTGGTGTGGTGGTGTCAGGGTTATGAGATGAGAATATGAGTAAAAATAGAGTGGGACGCCCCCTGACCAGATGGAGCAACGATCAGCGCAAGGTGGCTGGTAGAAACTGGATGTGTGTAGCCGAATATCGAGCTAAGTGGCGCGCCTTGGGAGAGGCCTATGTCTAGCAGTGGACTGTCGCAGGCTGATGATGATAAGATTATTTTAGATAAGATTCTTTATTAAAAACTTATATAGGTTACAAACAAAATGTTGCACTGATTCCTAAACTAGGATTAATCCTGTATCTTAGGATATCAGTACCTTCCCATACAATTATACCATATAAAATTTTTTTACGCAGACTTTTATAAAACAATTTTTTTTAATAAAACTAAGTTATTTCTCTTCTACCCAGTGTGTGTGTGCGTGTGGGTGCGCGCGCGCGCGCGCCTGTTTGTGTGTGTGTGTGTGTGTGTGTGTGTGTGTGTGTGTGTGTGTGTGTGTGTGTGTGTGTGTGTGTGTGTGTGTGTGTGTCTTTCACAAGTATAGTAGTCAAATTCTTTTAACCAATCTAGCAAAACGATTTTTAATTTAAAGTTGTTTAGCCTCTGTATAACTTTTGTTTTGTTGAATCTATTATATAGCCGAGGCGCAAGATATTCGTAATGCTTTCTTGCTATCGAGCTTTTCCTGTTAGGAGCAGGGTACTTTGCAGTTCTTTTGTTCTTGACATTTATGTGTGGTACAGATAAACGATGATACCGCCATGATGATGATGATGATGATAACTATCGAACGTTCGATCAAAGGTTCCAACGTAATAGTCAAACCTTCGAACCTTTTTACAAGTAGACTTAAAAACTTTTTACAAGTAGATTTAAAACGTATTGATAAATTAAATAGATTCAATTACTACTAGTTATTTTGTAATCATTGAGGGCCCTCTCGCGACCCACTTGGAATAATTCCCGCGACCACAATTTGAATTGCATCCCAAGGTTACTACTTGCTTAACATTTTGGGTCAGTAATTAATTTATATAATAGTTCCGTGGTTAAAAAAGCCTCTATATGTGCACATACCACGCTGCTCCAGTGCGTGTTGGCGGACTTCACATATCCTCCTATTTTATTCTTTAGACACGCAGTTTTATATATAAACACTCACGCCTGTCACCCAGAGGGGTAGGCTGAGACTGTGGACTTCTATTTGGCACGATCCTGACACACCTCTCTCGTTTCCTCCACATCCATATACCTACGCATACACGCTCGTCGGTTAAAGGTACTTTTGATTTGGCCCATTTTCAATATATCGCCAATTTGGTCGATAAACTTTCGCCTCTATATGTGCAGTTTTCTTCGCAATATTTTCGTTCACCGCCGAGTACGTGGTAAATCAGCATAGCATAACATGGAAATTAAAAATTTCAATGGTGTTGTTGGGGATCGAACCATGGTTGTTCACGAACAATGAAATTTACGGCGAACAGTCAGTACACAAAGTATCATCAGTCTCGCAGATTTGAGTTCGGAATTTTCAAATAGATAATCGCCATTTGGATGCAGCGCGTTCTGGAAAAAAATTAAAGTTACATCTTTATTAAGAACTGCTGCTGAGTGCAGGTACTCTAATTTCTGAGAGAGTTATCGCTGCACCAGTACAGTGCAGCGGAATAACTGCAGCGGACTTCTTAATATTATGTCCTCGAATTATTTGATTCAACAGACATGCAGATTTTTTTCTTGAATTTTCTCAAGCTTAGCTTCAAGCCTGCAATCCCCCAAGGGTATTGGCAGATTCCAAACAAAAGTGAGCTACTCGGACTCCGTTCAGCCAAAATAATTGTTGAAGAAGTAATAGGTGGCTAGCCCACTGCCTACTCAATTACAAACCAAATATCCCATTAGTCACCTTGCTAGGTAAGTATTACAGTCGGCACATACTTTTTCAATATTATTAATAGAATCATGCGTTACTTTGCGGAAATCTATTATGTCATCAAAAACATAACTTGTAAAAAAAAACATGAAAACGCAATGTATCTCTCTAGTACTACATATTATATTAAATTAGATTGTTTAGTGCGATGGCCAAGTCAATTTATGTATTTAAAACATAAAAGATTTTTAATATTGATATGGTCACTATAAGATGTTGTTAGGTTAGCTAATTACGTAATAACTTAAGACAGAAGGACCTTTAAGTAGGGACTGTATAAATTAACCGACTTGGTATTACATGGATCTCACAACTTTTTACGGTAGAAGAACTGAGTTGCGAGACTTGTATTTTTTTTACAAGTTATATTTTTGATGACATCTCATTTCTTTTTGTAGATAGTTATATCTAGGTACCTATCTACACCTATTATTCCATTATATTACACATATACGTATAGGTACACTGATTCATTCACTGCAAATGTAACTTTGTAATCCTATATATTTATATGGGATTACAAAGTTATTTATGCAGTTGGTGTATCTCGAAAACTGGACGGAAATTGCAAAATATTTTAATTTTTCCTTGATTTATATACTAAACAATAGTTGTATTCCAAATTTGAAGCTTCTATGTCTGCTAGAAGTGCCTTAGAGTTTTGATGATCGGTCAGTCAGTGAGTGACAAAATTAAGAAACTTTGACTAGTTATAATTCTTAAACTACTGGTTCAAATTTAATAAAATTTGAAACATATCGAGATTATACAATGGCTACTTGGTTACTGAAAATTCAGGCTTCTAGTTTTATCCACAACGAAGTTATAGGCTTTCGAAAATGGCCTGAACTGTTTCGAGAAAAGGATGGTACGGCCGGGCCGCTTTTGTGCTCGACTCGGCGGGGGCACTGCCGTGCCCCCAGATATTGAAGTTGTGAGAACTTAATTTACTTATTTCCGCGTAATGAAATAAAATTAATGAATCTGAATGACAGGGTGAGAAATAGTGTGATAAGAGAAAAGTGTGGTTTGCAAGATGACGTTGTGACCAGGATTAAAAAAATAATGCTTCGGTGGTTTGGTCATGTAGAAAGAATGAACGAGGAAAGAGTGACAAAGCAAATTTATATTTCAGAAGTGAACGGTAGAGTCCGAAAGGGACGCCCCAGACGAAGATTTATCGATCAAATTGGCGATACATTGAAAATAGGCCAGATTAGGAGTACCCTTAATCGACGAGCGTGTATGCGTAGATGTATGGATGTAAAGGAGGCGGGAGAGGTGTGTCAGGATTGCGCCAAATGGAAGTCCGTAGTCTCCGCCTACCCCTCTGGGTGACAGGCGTGAGTGTTTGTGTTGTGTTTGTTGTGAAATAAAATTATGTGTAGCGAGAGTTTGAAGAGCTCTTTAAACTGGGTAGGACACATCGTTTTATTTCATTACGCGGAAATAAACAAATTAAGTTCTAGCAACTTCAACATACTTTTTCGCTATACGTTTCACATATATGAGTACATAGACCCTGTAAGTGCCATACCAAAAAGGAACTCAAAAAGATTAATATTCTATAAAATTTACGTTATACGGCGGCTCCCCTCTAGATGAAGTGAACACCCTGGTAAGACATTTAGTAAGTTGATGATGCAGTGGCTTAGGACCGTGTTTTGTGACATTTCTTCAACAGAGAACTTTTGATGGGCTGCAATGAAGACGATGATGATGACATTTATATTATTAAGTAATCCAGTTGATTGGTAAGTGGTGATGAATTTTTTTTATAGGATAGGGTGACAAACGAGCACACAGTCCACCTGATGGTAAGTGGTTACTGTGGCATCTACATTTATCCACGTTTCCGAATCAAAATGCAGATGCGTTGTCACCGGTGAGGACTAAGATGGAATGCCTCTTTTCCAGTAAAAAGGGTCTACTGTTCTCTACACTCACCATACGAAACACAGCAGTGTTAAGCTGCTATTTTACGCTGGTATTCTGTGAGAGCGTGGTCCTTCCCCAGTCGAGCCGACCCATTCGTGCTACAACTATACTACTAATATAGCTGCAGCATGGCTCTACCACGTATTAGGGCCTATTAGCCCTAGATAGTAAATCGCACTAATCTTAGTGTATTCACTCTTGCCTTAAAGACGTATATAGTTTTAATTAGTTTATATGTTTAAAAATTTTAATTTTCTTGACAACATTTTTAAATAAATACGCAATACAATGAGCCATCGAAGTACTCCCAGCTCACGGACATTGTTCATTGAAGTAATTAGTATTCAACAGGCTTTGTCCGCGTCCGATACAATAAGCAGACACAAACCACATGTACACACACGTATACGTTGACATTCAAACTTGACCGTGTCCAAACGACGAGGGACTATAATACCCGAGTAAAATTAAAACATTTATTCAAGTAAACACCAGCTTGTTCTATAATATTAAATTAGAATTTCTACAATACCACTGAAGGTAATTTTCATCATAGATTAAAAAACGGATAGCCTAACAAATATGTAACAATAAATAAAATAAGACAATTTTACGCGTTGAATGAATAGTTCATAAACTAGGATTTCTCCTACTACGGGAACTATAGATGATGGACATCTGGTAAAACTTCAAACTAAGAAGACGTCAAATGTTTTGTTACTTCTGAGGACTAAGATGGACTTACTATATCGTTCAGATCAGAATACAGATCCTAGCACAACAATGCAGGCAGTAGAAATATATTAGGAAAGAAGTTAGTACCCTCGACCTACGCAGTCCGACTCTTACGCAGAAAAAACAAAAACACAAGCAAAAACCGTTGGCATTTCATCATATAAGTATCCTATATAGATATACCGTTTAATAGTACATAAAATACACAACGATGGGATGACTCAATTGTGCAAGACTTGTGGAAACTTTTTTACGCGCCGATGAAGAAGAAGAAGTTGGAAGGCAGTGTTTAAAATCCAAGGCGTTTTTAGAATAGAATAGAATCGAATAGAAAGAATTTTAAATCAACTTACTTTACTTATTGAAAGTCATTTAATTTTTTTACTGCATAAGGGTTACAAGTGTGCACACAGTCCACCTGATGGTTATTGGTTACTGTGGCCCATAGACTTTTACATCTATCCTCGATTACGAAATGTTGATGCGTTGTCACCCGTGAGACCTGAGATTAAATGTCTCGTTTACAGTAAAATGTTTCTCTACACTCACCATACGAAGCACAGCAGCGTTAAGCTGCTATTTTACGCTGGTATTCTGTGAGAGCGTGGTCCTTTCCCAGTCGAGCCTACCTATTCGTGCTATAACTATACTAGTAATATATCTCTATCATGTAAAAGCTTTACAACTGATTCGGAAAACAACTCTGTCCTGGGAAGAACCAGCGAAAATCCCAGTGCGGTCTTTTTTGATATGTCGATCACTAATCCTCCTGCTGAGCATGTCAATTGTGACAAATTCTCGCAAATTGTAAGATATTCAACAGTAACTATTACGAATTGATGATGGCGTAATATCATATATAAATCAGAACTAAAATAGTTTTTCAGAGATCGTCACTATAACTTCACTGACTAGAACTATCCAATCACGATCAACGACCGTCGAATTTATAATCCAGACTTAATACAAAACGTTTAATTTTGTGCGAATATAATGTGACCCATACTAATATTTTTACAACAAAGTCAGTGAATAATTTTAGAATCTAATTCACCATCAACTAACTCAGTATTTTTTGTCAACTTTTAGTCTCTTGTATATTTCTATACGCTGGCAAAGTGATCATAAGATAGACGAAACCCATTTTTGTACCAGGTATTGTTGTTTTTGATAATATGCAATTCCAGAAAAACAATTTCGTAAATGATATAAAACTAATAACAAATGAAAATTTTAATAAAATAATTTTTTTGGTACGCATATTCTTTGACCACGCACCTATTGGCAATAATTTGTCTAACTTACGTAAAGGCTGCGTTATAAGTATGAAAGGAACCGACAGAATAGTTTTCATAATACTACTACAAACATGAGTGTTGTGAGGACGTGTATGTATTTTCTTGTTTTATCAATGAGTTTTCATTCGGCAGTAGGCAAGGTTTGTTAATCCTACTTTATATCAAATTAATATTATGTTTGTAGGTAATCAAAAATTATTGTTATTATAACTGAAATATTTTCTAGTGCCGTTACTTTAAATCGGAGTCTGTCATTGCCTTGAAGGAAAAGTAATAATCATTTCTTTTTCTAAATATTTGCGTATCAAACGAGCCAACTGTCCATCTGATCTGACTTGGAATCCCAACCATTTGACTGCAACACTTCTAAGAGGGAGTTAGAGATAGAAATTGTTAAAAACGAAGACTAAAATCTGAGGAACCAAGACTCAAAAATTAGTTGCAATTATTATTGAAAAATCTATTTGCAGCCATTTCTGAAAATATTTTTTCTCAGATACAGTTTCCTCGCATCATTTTCCTTTTACTTAACATTAAAAATTGAAATTTTATATCTCTGTAACCGAAGTTTAACCTTCATTATTGGACCTCAATTGAAAGTTGAAGGAACAAGGTATTCGAATTAGTGCCTATAGTAAGTAATAAATAAAACAAAAGTGCTGATATAATATAAAGTTTAAAATTCGATTTTCAGCCTTTATTCGGCACATGGTTTTGGTGTGAGTTCTTCTGTGATGACGACGACGATGTGAGCACAACAAGCACTAGTACGGAAGACTATTTTGATGACTTATTCGGGTCGTGTGATGACTGCCCAACGAGTCGAACTTCAACACGACGACCTTCAACAGACAGACCGAACCCCAATATGGCTCCTATTAGCTTCATGATTCGTAAGTCATTATCATCATTATTACTGCCTGACAAAAATCATAGATTGACTGGCAAAGATATTTACCATAGTTGCCACTTTTGGTAACCAAGTTGGTAACCGCAGTTTTTTATTGGGGCGGAGTATAGCATAGCCCTATTATACTCAACGCCGCTGCAATTTTTTATTGCTATCTGTTTCATACTAACTTTCGATTTCGATGAAACTCGGAATAGACAATCAACGTAGTGTCAAGAGTGCATGTATTCATTTTCATGCCTCTTTCTATTCTCATTGATCGGACCCCATTGAGCGAATCTAAGCGAGTGTAGAGCTCTCTTATACCTAACTCCAATTCAAATTTGTATTGCTTACTCCTGGAATACTAAAACTTACCACATAATAATCGTAGTGTGAGTGAATAATGCACAGATACATTTCATGTCTCTAGTAATTTAATTGATATAAAAATCGAAATGTTTATATACACACAGAAATAAACCACACCTGATTAAACATAATTTTAAGATATAAGGATTATATAAATAATAAAATGATATTATATATTTATAATAAAATATAATTATATATATATAATGTGTAAATATAATAATGTCATTTTATTATTTTACAATAAACACGTCGATTAAGTAACAGTTCTAATTACTTAATTATTTATAAATATCAAATATTCCTTATTCTCTAAGATAATGTTTAATTTGAATTTAATAATAATTTTATTTTTATAATGAAATGAATGAATGAATGGCTTAGTGTTTGTAAGTGCGACTGTTCACGTGTGTTCGAATCCCGGGTCAGGACAAAATCAGTTATTGCGTTTTCTGTCAGGAAAATCTCAGTAGCACCCCGGAGTCAGGAAGTTGGCGGTTTTTTACCCCCATATCTCGGAAAGGACGTAAAGCTGTTGGGCTTGCGCCTTATCTCTCTCCGGTTGTTTCGGATTACTGTTCCATCAGACTACGAGAGTGAGAGAATAAAGAGTGCACTTTTGCTTTACGCTCGGTCACCATAATCCTGTTCTACGCAGATAACTAGTCTCCGTTCAGACTGTCCCCTATCAACAATAATTTGTTCTGGAGGAGGACATTACTATTTCTAAAGTCTTCTTAGGTCACGAATTGTTAAATATTCAAAACCTGGGGGATTTTTTTTTACATGGTAGAACCAAGCTGCAGTTATATTTACAGTATAGTTACTATATATATAGTTATATAGCACGAATGAGTCGGCTCGACCGGGGAAGGACCATGCTCTCAAGAACACCAGCGTAAAATAGCAACTTAACGCTGCTGTGTTTCGTATGGTGAGTGTAGAGAACCGGAGACCCTTTTTACTGGAAACGAGTCATATCATCTTAGTCCTGGAGTCTGACAACGCATCTGCATTTAGATTCGCAAACGAGGAGAGATGTAGATGTCTATGGACTTCAGCAACCACATACCATAATGTGGACTGTGTGTTCGTTTGTCACTCTATTTCTAAAAAAAATAGTTCATAAATAAGGATTATTTGAGTGGCTTAATTTAAAAATATTTATTTTTATTTTTTTTTAAGCTCCTATGACTGGCATGGGTGTTACTGTGTCAAATAGAAACGGCACATGGCTCATGAATCTTTCACCTTGGAGTTCGCCTTCTACCACGGCAACACCAGCAGCCGCTGCCACCACCGCCGCTGCAACCACAGCGGGAACTGGTGGTACCACCGTTGCTACGACTACCGCTTAGAAATAAAACCATTTCGCGAGGCTTAAGCCTTTTGTGTGAATAAATATTTGTCAACCTTCAAGATGTTGAATTACGATCGAAGTTTCATTCAATTTCCAACTTAATAAAAGATTTAAATAATTTTCGAAATCTTCAATAAATTGTAATTAAATTTATTAAAATTAAATCTAAATATAACTAAAATTTATAAATTTGTAATTTGGTTTGATATTTTACGTCTTTGTTATTTAATTTACTTAGTTTTATCATATTTAAATATCATAGAATAAAAAGTATTGTTACTTTATGTGTAATTAATTAACAATAAAATAATAAATATATTTTTATGTGAATTAACTTTCCCACGAAGGGTAACTGCTCCTAACATCTTAATTTAAAGTAACAATCGCTATATTTCCCACTACTGGGTACAGATCTAATCCCTGGCAGAGCTTTGGTACAAGGAAAAGTCCCAGGCCGTCACGCAGCTTGGGATGTCTGTGACGTGTCTGTATGTAAAGATCGTTTCACGTCTCGGTAGCATTGTGGCTAACCGTTTGGCTGGAAAACTATTTTAAGTGCATACAAATATTTGTAAGGGTTGTGGATATTTGTCCCTGTATATTTTATAAATGTTAAACGACCCGTAAATTTGTAAACGTACCGTGTACTGGCTGTGTAAGAATATCCACTACCCCATTTCATCCCATGGGTGTCGTGAGAGGCGACTGATGGAAACAAATCAGGAGATGGGTAACAGCGTCTTCCTAGTAACCATTAAAAATAAAATACTGTGGTTGCCCTCTCAGAAATGAGAGGAGGCCTGTGTCCAGCAGTGGGACATATCGCGTATAGACTGTTACTTTACTTTGCGGTTGCCAACCCGCTAACCAGGCGTGGCATCTATGGCAAATATCCTCATATGAAACAATCTACGGGGGAGGCCTATGTTCAACAGTGGACTTTAATAGGCTGAAACGGAAACGGTAAACGCCCTCACGATAGAGAAAAAGTCAGTGCAATGTTTTTTGTTTATAACAAAAATCTATTCAGTATTTTTGTTTTTCATGTCAGTTGGTAAAATAAATAATACAATAACTAAACAGTTAGTGTTGAGGTTCATTCAAATGGCAATTAAGTTAGTAAATTACGTCTCTTTTAACGATGCAAGGACACAAATATACACATAGTTATATCGTCTGAACCATTAAGATAACTATTCGCAACAACGGTAATTATAATATATTTTATACGGAATAGTGCTAAAATATTTTTAATGTAATCTATAATATAAAAATGAATCGCTGAATGTGTTGCTAAGCGCAAATCTCGAGAGCAGCAGAACCGATTTCGCTAATTCTTTTTTTATAATATTCCTTGAAGTACGAAGATGGTTTTTACGGAGATAAAAAAATAAAAATTTGCCTGAAAAAGTCTAAAAACAACGCTTTTCTATATTCCCATACAAAAGTTAAAGTTAGTGGAGGGGTTCCGGGAAGGCAAAACAATTGAGTGACGTTAGTATCGTAATACTAATCTCAATATTTGTCAATTAGAATAAGTAAGAATAAAATGAAATATAATAAGTAGGTATCTAAATAAGAAATCAGAAATTGTAATTTTCATTGTGATTTTTAGTTATTATTAAAAGAATTTTAAGTGTTTTATAATTTTTATTTTTTGACGTAATGTTATTGTTGACTTATCAACTTTCTTTTTTCTTTTTTTATCTTACTAGCTGACCCGGTGTCCCGAATAGCGGAATAAGTATTAAAAAAATTAAAGAATCGACTGCTAGGCAGTACGAAGTTCGCCGGGTCAGCAAGTAAAAAATATAATTAAAAACTATAAGACACACATCCGACGAATCTTTAGCTCAGAAGCCGAACATAGAATATAGCGCGCTTGATTGGTAACAACTTTCGATTCGCGTGATATATTTTTGCTTTTCACCTATCAATACGAACGTTAGACTGAATGAATACGCATAATACTTCTGACCAAATTAGACGATGGAAAAATCAACCTGCATCTTACATTTTGGCACGTGAAAAATTAGAAGATCTCCTGACCTAACAGCAATTACAAAATATCTAGATAAAACAACAAGATATCTGTATAGCCATGTCCATGGCGTATAGCCAGAGGTAAAATACTCAGTCCGGTGATTAGGGCATTGCCAAAGCGCGAGTTATTTGATATTTTAATTGCCAATCTGCCTATTGAGGTATGAGAGAAACTGAATGGAACCTAGAATGTGAATCATTTTAAGACTGATGTGAGTGAAAGGTATAGTATAGAAAATACTGCAACGACGTCAAAAATGTTTTTTTTTTTATTTCACAAATGAAAATGAAAATGTTAAATGTTCAAAACATTTGAGTCACACGAAAGATATTATCAAGAAGTCATGATAATCATCGTTGAAAAATACAACGGATTATCAAAAAGTAACGTCGGATACTATTAAATGAATTTATTTTTGTTAAAAAAAAGGGATTAATACTTAGCTCAAGCTTCAATTTATTTAGAATATAAATAATTCATTCATTACAAAATAAAAAGTATGTTGATAATACAACACAGGATAAGACCAATTCTGATATAGGAAATACTACAGGAGATCCATGTTCTGATCTCGGAAATACATCAGGGAAGGTTAATTGTTGCAAATGGTAAAAGTCTGAAAGCGGATGTGCAACTTGCTCTCTTGCTTATGCAATTAATCATTATCAATAATAAGACAGCGTAACGCACTATACATTCAGTATAGAGCAATTAAAGTTCGACCATACTGTAATATGTCCCCGTCACAATTACACACCGGTGTAACGTGAAAGGCATAAATACATGTTAACACCAAAGTATACAACCCACCACCCATTTTACGTGATAGAGCCATGCTGCAGCTATATTAATAATATAATTGTAGCACGAATGGGTCGGCTCGACCGGGGAAGGACCACGCTCTTACAGAATACCAGCGTAAAATAGTAGCTTAATGCTGCTGTGTTTCATGTGGTGAGTGTAGAAAACCGGAAACCTATTTTACTTGAAAAGAGGCATTCTATCTTAGTCCTCACGGCTGACTACGCATCTGCATTTTAATTCGCAAGCGAAGATAGATGTAGATGTCTATGGGCCACAGCAAACACTTACCATCAGTTGGACTGTGTGCACGTTTGTGACTATAATTCTATAAAAAAAAACCATCTCGACTTAACACAGGGCATCCTATCACTATAACACCATCCTGCACCAGGTAAATCTCCACCACGGACAGAACCACGACCACTATATTAGCGCTCGTAGAATTACTACAATGTGACCCTTTGTTACAAATTTGAGACAAAATTGAAATACTTAGGAACAATTTCACCAATTCTATTTCATGAACATGTTAGAAAAATCGATACATTTTATAAAAAAAAATATATATTTATTTATGCCAGCTTTGTTAAACGTTTTCAATTCGGCCTGGCTTCGCCTGGGTGAGATTTATTAATGTGGCGTTATTTGCATTTAAGATTACCACCGAAGACCGTACGTTCAATCAATTTTTGGATTTCTTAAAAAGCCTAGACTAGATCACTCCGGGTAATGCTCTATATATGTTTGTGAACTTTTATCACAATCGGTTGAGCAATTCCGAAGATAAGCCCGGACAGACAGACAGAATTTTTTTGAAAATATTTACTCACATGGTAGGTATAATGGCGTGGAAATCAATAAAATACAGGTATTTCGCTAATACAGACAATATTTCAATTTCCATCGGTGTAGATTATTGGTTGTTCAAATGAATGTTGTTCAATTGAATTTTAATTTTGAGGTCCACGCATAAAATTAATCAGATTTAAATTATGTTTTTTTTTTAATTAAGGGTTACTAACGATTATAATCTTTCTGACGGTGCAAAAAAGTGAATGTTGAATCTGTAGAATCAAAATGCAGATGCGATATTGCTCTGAGAACTAATTCCTCGTATCAGTAAAAATGTACCCCGGTTTTCGAAACTCACCATATATAAAACATTATTTATGATTTTATTTTACGTCATTATGCAGTGACCGCCTAGTTCTTTAACAGTTGAGCCGACATATTTATTTTTTCATAATACAGTTACATTGTGGCTGTTGAATTAAAGATATCATTTATTTTTCTTTCTGTTATATAAGCAAAAGCCTTCCATCGGATACAGGTAGATATCGATAGATATAAGCGCAATAGACTACCTGTTTCCTCTTTTAATTCTGACTGTATAATATAACATATTGAGTCGATGACCGAGCGACATAGTGGTCAGAGAATCTTGCTTGCTGCGCTGTGTTTCAAAACCCCAGACGGAGCAAAAATTTGTGTAAAAAGATAAATTGTTGGATACGCGTATCGTTTTTCTGTGATTGTCACGTCTCTCTGAACCTGCACCGTAGCTTAGCTCCTATATGTAGTCAAACGAGCATTTAAATTTTGAGCGAGCCGGCTGAATTTATTGATTTGTACTTAACTATGTTTGACACATCTAAAAAGTATGTATCAATAAAGCCATTCAACCTCCGAGAAGAAATTTAAGATTATTATGATGATTAGGCCTTGTGGTGGCAGTTTAAGAGAATCTAGCGCCCTATTTTGTTCCGTGGGTGTCCTATGGGAAATACCAAAAAGATCTTGTGCCTTCCGATAAATGGTAATAAACCAACCAGACCGACCGGTGATGAAGCGCAGTGTGAGGTGTAAGACTTCTAGTACCGCGATCACTATTCTTCCTGCCGGGTGTGAGGATTAAAGCAAATCCTTCAAATAAAGAGAGCAATGTTCGACAGTAGCCTTTACGGATACGAACTGAGGACAATAAAGAAGAAGATGAATTCTGTTTCCGAAACTAAAATATGATTTTTTATTTGAATTTTTGGGTGACATTATATTAACCGATGGGGAATAAAGGTTCTCGAGTGGCAGCCTCGTACTGGTAGACAGTGACACCTCGTAAGTGTAGACCACTAGATGGAGTGACGAATTGG